GATGAATTGAAGAAAAAAAATTATTTTTTTTTTTACCTGTAGAATGTAATTCAAGGTTTTTATTTCTTTCAGAAGTGTTTCTGTTATTACCAGTGCATGGCTTGCACTGATTACTTAGATGATGGATCCTGTTTTTGGTGTACAAAAGCCTGTAGCAATATGTTTATCAATCAGTATTGGTGCAGTGCCCAGTATGACAGCATCAGTGTGATGTGGCTGTAATCAAGTGATCAGAGTCAGACTTCAGAGGTCTCTTCATGAGAATTTAGCACATATAAGTATGGGAGGGAGATATAAACAGGTATCTAAAGATACTATTATTTTGTCCTAGTTGTAGCATATTAATGCACACATATTTATAGGGTACTTCCTTAACAAAAGGTCCAGGTGTTTTGTGAACCATTGTCATAAGCTGTTTTTTAGTGGAGGACAGTAGCCAGCTAACATAGCATAGTAGCATTTTTGTGCTTGGCTGCCTCTGTCCTTATCAATCCTAGTTAATTTTTAATTTTTTTTTTTTTTTTTACTGTCCCTCTGGTGAGGATAGCAGTAAGTAATAGGTAAGCACATGCCTCTGCCAGGACAAGGGAAAATATAAACCTTTTAATAAATCTGAATGTTTAGGGCATATGAGCTTCAGGTGCGTATTGTTTAGAGAGTAAATTAAGGAAAGGCAAGCTCAACAGTGCTGGAAAGCAGGGATATGTGATTCTAGAGAAGAAGGTTGAATCTGTGACCATCGACTTTTGTAGCCAACATCCACCTGAAGTAATTGGAAATACCCTTCCCTTTCCCCTCCCCTTGGGCACACGTCCTGGTGCAGCAGTTTCTATCCCCATGCATCTTGGTCCTGCCAGCTGCAGGATGCTGCTCTCCCTCTCCCTGGCTTGGTGGGAGCAAAGCCCTGGTGAAGAAACGCTGCCTGGTCTGCATTCCTGTCATGTTGGGGCAGCTCCAGAGTGTAGGAGAGCACTTTCCATGCAGTGAACCTCTGCCTGGTTGCTTTGAGCTTTGCTGCACTGGAGCCAGAGGTTTCTGGTCAGGGAATTAACTGAAAGCTTTGGAGTTGTGGACAGGGAAAATGACGTGTTGTTTTTTTTTTTTCTTTGCTTCAAATGAACTTAGATGTCATTTTGAGTAAGGTCAGTTTTGTCAAAAACACCTGCTACCCCTACCGGTTTCTCTGCTCTAAGAATATTCTCCAGGACCCTTAAAATATGCTTGAATATCCTTTTTTCTAAGAGGAAAAACTGCAGGCTATTTCGTCTAAGGCAGGCAAATAATAATGATAGATTAAAAACTTAAAAACTAGAATAAAATGTGTATTTCTAAAGATTTTTTTGAGAGCAGGTTAATAAAATGGTTCCCAACACAGATATGATGTGACTGATACAGAAGAAAATACAGAAGTGTGATGTAGGTGTGTCTAGATGGGATTAACACTTAGTGGGGAGTGTGAAGGTCACAGTGGCCACAAGCAGGCAGAGGAAATGGGACAGTAGGAGATTGGATATTGTGTTGGCTTGGAGCACTTGCATAGCTTTGGACTTGTCTTGGACCCACTTTTTCTTATCTTTTGCAGCTTAAACCCATCCTTTCCTTGTAGGAAGCTTTGACTGAGGAGTATGTGATGGTTTCTTAACATTGATAAGTTATTGTCAAAAAAGTAGTAAATTCATCAGCAAAACCAAGGAAAGGATTGAGCAAGAGTAAATGTAGTAACTAAGTTTAATTTGGGCTTGGCTATTAAAGAAAAGGAGGCTTCTGTTGGCATGTGTTTGGATTTACAAAGGATGCAGAACTGTCTGGTCTCAAGTGCAGACTGGGTTGACACAAGCACATCCATCGATATGTTGGGAAATGGTTTTTTGGAGACTCGAATGTAGGATTGGAGGAGAGAAGAAATCTTCATAGCTGATGTAGATGATAGTACAACTTATTTAAATTTCATTACACCTAATAACAGTATAAGCGATATCAGGGGTTATAACTTCAGTCCACAGAAAATTACCTCAGCAATGGTGAGGTCAATGTTTTGTGAACAATCCATGTGTAACAAACGAGTTATTCTCCCCTCTGAGTGCAAATACTGTTTAACAGCTGTATGCAGGTTCAGCTTTCCAGCAGAGAAAGCTGGAAAATGCTGGGGCAGTCTTAAAGCATCAACTCTCATGCGATGCTGACTAAATGCAGATGGCTTAAGTGGTTCCTGTCTTCAGTTTTATGCTTGCCTATCTCTTGAAGGCTGCTGCTGCTGCAGTAGTACTGGCTGAGTGATATATGAAATATGTGTGTTTACATTTATGAGCCAAACTGTAAAAATGTGTTTAGGAGCAGAGTCACAGAAGCCAGCACTTGTAGCTGCTAAAATTCTTGTGACTGAGAAGCATGAGAGGAGCATTCCTTGTTTGTTGGATGCAGCTGAGGAGCTCTAAGTACTAAAAATGATCGTGATTCAAAATGGGCAGAGAAAAAGTCCAAAGTTTGTTTTATTTGGGCTGTTAGCCTATTAAATTGGATCAGGTAGAAAAAAGCATTCCAGTAATTGCAAGAGTATGGTTTAGCATGGCTAGAAATGGCAAGGATTCTCATGACTGTTCCTGTCCTTTGTCTACCTGTATAAACTTTCACCTTAGGCTCAAATGCCAATGCGGACAATTTTGGGACATAACAAAGTTACTTGGAGAAAGGGTTAGTTTTTCAGAGCAGCAGTGCTTGTCATTGTAGAGGGGAGAAAAAAAATCAATACAAAAGATCTAGAAGAAGTTAAATTTATAGACTACTTGGGGGAACTTTGGGATTAGGTCCAAATCTACACTCTGACATCTCAACACCAAGTAGGGAAACACTTGCATCAGCTGCTGTGGTGTGATTTTGCAATTCTGCTGAGGCCTGGATGAGAGCAGGTTAGTCCTGTTGCCACACACACAACCTAGTTGGAAGAGTTATTGCAAACACTAGGGATCAGCTTCTGCAGCATATCCGGAACTTGTGCTCACTTTGTCCTCCTGTGTTGCAGAAGTGGAGACATTAGTGGTTCATCCACAGCAGGATAAAGGTGTAGGGACAGTTGGTGTTGTCTGGCAGGAATGGACTACAGAGACACTGAATCTTTCTCAGAAAGTGGATTTTCCTACTGGGATATTAAGTAATTGGAAAATCACATGGCAGGGCTGGTTTTCAGAAGGTGTAGCAGTCTCCATGTCATCCCTGAGGAGGGGTCTTCTGAGCCCAGAGGAATTTGGCATTCTGAGTGAAATACTCCTCTGCAGGCATGAGGACTTGATTGGTGACGTATTCAGGTCTCAGTTGATTATAGCAGATATCCGAGACCTTTCCAGTACTTGACGATGACCATATGGCTGTTGTGCTCTTTGCAAAAGCCTTGGCTGAGGGAAAAGAAGCTTTCTATGGATATAGTCATAATGCAGCAAGAACCATCATCATTGTTTTGGTTCCAGGCACTGATGTGTTGCAAAAGACAGTCGGGAGAGCTAAGCTGTTGTGTGGCATGGGAAAGTGTTCATCAGCATCTGTGTGGGTCCTTGCATTAGCCAGAAAGCAGCTGTGAACTGCTTCATGGACAAGTTCGAGGTTTGCTCACTAAAATATCAAGAGGCTTTGACTGCAGCGTAGTTTCCAGTTAATAAGCCTTCCACCTGGTGAGTGAGATAGGATTCTAGAAAAGGGGGTGCACCCAGCATGTCCTATTTATCTTGGTGACTTACCAATCAGCGGGAAACATCAGATAGCTGGCCACTTCTCATATTGGGCTTTAAATTGGACTCAACGTGACTGGTTAAATAGAGCTCCTGGCAAGGCACAGAATGCAATTCCAGAAACCCCACAATGCAGCATAGAGGGGGGGAAAGTGACCTTTTGTGAGAACAAAATTAACTTGACCTGTACGAAATGAAAAAACGGTTTTGGACATTGGTCGTGTTTGAAAGCAAATGGTTACAAGAAGCTGTCTGCTTTGATTCCACCCACAAGGTAGAAATCCCACAAGGTTGGAAGGCAAAAGTCTGCCAAATTTAGTGGGCTTAGTAGTTTTATTTTGGTACGTTCACTCTTCAGAAATTTTGCATTGTGAGGAAGAGAGTTACTCTTATGAGAAAAATATATAATTTTTACAGACAAAATCCTGCATTGTCTTAAGAAAAACATGACTGCTTGAGCAATGGGACCCTGCTGGCATTGTCTTCTGTCCAAATCTCCTCCTCCCTCCCCTGGAAAACTGGCTGCCCTCCTTACTACCTATTCCCCATGTCCTCTGCTCTGATTTACACAGGTTCCCACCTAAGGGAGTGATGGGCCCCTCTCTTCCCACTCTGCCCATCACACTTGAAAAAAAAATTTTCCCTCTCTCTCTCTCCCCACCCTTGCCCCCCCCCCCGCCTGGTTTTTATGCCGATTTACTAATTATTTGAAATAACTGGTGTATAATCTGTGAAAAATTTAGGATCAGTCTTTTGGAGAGAGTAGGGAAAGGTAAATAGCATTAAGCAAAAGCAACAAACTCACATCCCTTAGATCCAGTTCATAGTTCTTCCTCACCCTGCAGAGAGTAGTGCATGTTATTAATGTTGCTACTAATCTTATCCAGCTTTGCATCTCTGTGTCTTCATCCAAGAAAAAGAAAACCAGCTTAAGTATACACTTAGCTCTAAGAATATGAATAGCTGAAATTCTGAAAAGTAAAGAACAAAGTTGAAGTTACAGAGGGTCGCAGTAGTCCTGACAATTTATACAAAGATGTATTCTCTTTTCCCGCTTCTTTTCCTATTTACACTGAGCTAGTTTGCTTATAGTAGCCACTTGATATGCTCAGGTTGCCAGAAGACTAAAACTTTGAGAACTCTGCGCAGCAGCTTGTTTTTGTTACTGTGCTGTGCTGGCTTAGGGTTTGGGCTGGTATTAAAAAAAAACTTAAAAAAAAGCCCTAAAAAAAGTTAAATATTTGCTGATGTGTTTCCTGCCTCCCACTCACTGTGTTTCAGAAAGTCTTCAGAAGAACTGGACATGGATAAAGTAACAGCAGCCATGGTACTCACCAGTTTATCCACCAGCCCTTTGGTCCGCAGCCCTCCTGTCCGACCCAATGGTAAGCCTTTGGAGCCAGGGGCTCTGGGGAGGGGTGCCAGGACCGTTTATTTGGGGATTTGCATCCAGGGGTTGTGGCCGTGGTGGAGAACAAAGGCTGTCTTCTGGTATGCTGGGGTTCATACTGAGCTTTGCTCAAACCCGGTCAAAGCCTTTGGTGTAGCATTGTTGGAAATCTTTTCTGTAACTGTAACGGCTCCAGTTTATGAAATGGGAGGTGCCCCATGCCATAAATGGGATATGAGCACTGTGTAAGATATCCTGACCTCACTGAAACACTAATTTTCTGAAGATCTTGTTTACATTTGCACATATAGAATCCTAGAATTGTAGAATGGTTAAGGTTGGGAAAGACCTCTGAGATCACCAAGTCCAACCATCAGCCTGGCACCACCACCGTGTTCACCACTGAACCATGTCCTCAAGTGCCATATCCAGTAAGTGTGATAGCAGTTGTTCTTGTCCTCCACTCCATGGAAATCAGATCCCAAAACCACAATGAGGCAAAGCACTTTCAGATCAGAGCCCTTGGCTGAAAGGCCACACACTAGCAATCTGTACAGCAACAGATCTGCTTCTGCAGATGCAGGACTAGACTCTCAATTCCTGTGCTCTTTGTAACTCTCTGATGTCTTCCATCAGATCCATAACCCCTTTAGAGACTACTTCATTCATGGTATAGCAGAAGACACACAAATAAAAATAAATAAAAAAAGGTTTTGGTAATAAAGAGTTTGGTAATTAAATATAATTAATCTATGCAAGCTTGACTGGAGTTACAATAAATTTTTAAGTGTTCTATTTTAACGAATAATTTAAATTAGGACACCCTTGTTAGGATACCTCAGCATTGTTCGTATGACGCTGGCTCTTCTTTTCGCTTACCCTGCTAAACAGACGCTAGATGCCCTTCTCCTGTAAATAACTGGAAGACTGAGGAATACTTACAGATGCAAATTAAGAGGGATGTAGTCTTTGTATTTCTTCAGGCAATCCACTGAATGATGTTCTTAAAAGGAATTCATACCAAATGTCACATCTTTAAACATTTTTGAACAAACACTGTGTTTTTTCCATTTATTTCCAGAAAATGTAAGTTTTATCTTTGTAGCTGGAATTCTAGCCATGAACACCCGTGGCTCTTGTTTTTGTGCTTTCCAGTGTGGAAAACCAGAACTGTTTATGGAGTACCACTGCTCTGAGGAGCCCTGGGAAACCTCCTTCAGTGACATCCCCAATGACTGTCCTGCCTCAGGCAGGAGGTTGCCAGCCCCTGGGGAAGGCCAGCAGAAGGATAAAAACACACCTGCTCTCCAGCTGCTCAGCTCACAGCGGAAGATGGATCTGTGCTGATGTGCCAGGCAGGGATTTGGAGAGGCCGAGGCACACGCATGTCCCCCGCTTCATCCCTGTTCCTGGGGAGCTGCTCCGCTGTGGGTAGGGCAGTACTTGCCACCTCAAACAGTCTGAGCAGCTGACACTTGTCAGGAGCAGCAGTGCACAGTAGCTTCCCAGCAAACCTTTTGAATTGTAATAGGTAAATGGTGGCTGTTAGCTACCTTTGATATTTCTTCGTGTATTCTGAGTGCTCTTTGATATTTCTTCACACAGCTTGTCTGCTTGTTTCCCAAAATCTGGGAAGACTAGTCTGAAAAAGTAATTCACGTGTTTTCAGTAGTCACAGACAAGATTTTGAAGCTGTAGTTGGGCACCTTTTCCCTGAATATCTTAGTTTTGCCTGACTAACTAAGACATACTAAGGACTTAAATAAAAGTGTAAACACTTAATAATATAAAGCTCATTTGGTGTTGCAAGGCTAGGCTCTGATCCCACTAATATGAGCAACAAATGTACTAATGATTAGTTCTTTCTACATTCTTTTCCAAAAAAGGCTAGTAAGGAGCAGTGTCATTAAAGAAACATTGTTTAAACAAATGGACTTTTTCCTAGCAGTAAAAAAAAAAAAAAAACAACAACACATTAGCATTAATATTAAAGACAGATCTGTACTGGAATTATTGGGGATGATCACCCATGTAAACTGGATCAGAGTTTGGCCCTTGTTTCCCTGCAGCTGAGTAATATTTGGTCTGGTTCTCTTTCACACAACTCCAGCAGTGTGAAAAGAGCCTCCAAATAAGAGTAAGTTGCATTTATTTTTATTTTAAACTTTTTCACATTGACAGATTTGTTAGCATTAACGAGAACCAGTGTTTAGGGTTTTTTGCTGTTGTCAGCCTCATTCAGCCTTTTCCATACTTGATTTGCATCTCTTTCTCAGCAAGGTGAGGAGAAGCTGTAAACCCTGAGAATACAAAGTACTACCATAAATATATCAGAAAGCAGTAGTTGAAAGAGTGCTGTTTCCTTTGTTTTTCTTAAGAAATGGAAACTTTAAGCTATGCTAAGGTCACAAGTTGATACCAGATGTATTTCTTGGCTTTGGCACAAGACTGAAGTACAAATACTTGTAAGAGACAAAACCCACCTTCATTACAGTCACATGAAGTCTGTAATCATGAGCCAAAATGTGACATTTTCATATGTTAACTTAGTAGCTACCAGAAATCTATATGTCCTTTTCCAAAGAGGAATTGGAGGGGTAGAGGGGGAGGGTTGATCCCGTTTTTGCTGCATGGCCCTGCTCAGTAAAACAGTAACTCAGGGACTTGGCTGCTGCCTACTCAAGGGGGCACTGCATTCTGTTTTGTGAGCAGCCAGTGTTAATGATTTAGGATTTCATCCAAAACCAACAGAATTAGGAGGAAAAAAAACCAAAAAATTCGTTGGTTTTTGGGTAAGCTTTTGATATCTCACTTTCTTGCTGATATCATTAGTTAACTTACCTGTAAGATATTGAGAAGGAGTGAAGGAGTGACTTCTGCAGAACTCTTAAAGGCAGGCACTGACTTGAAAAGACTCTTCTCACACTTAACTGTTGTTCCGTGAACAGATAAGAAGTTATTTGCTTGCCAGCTCCAAAGTCAGGTATTGCACAATGCTCAAGCACCTACAGTGTCATTGGGAGCAGCTGCCAATGCCTGAGTTAGGGAGAAGCCGCACCTAAACCGTCCCTGCACATGGCCCAAGCACCGTGAGAACCTGGGGCTTCTGGCAGAGCTGCCTGTGGCTGCACCACTGGATGTGCTCAGGCCATGCCTTTGCTGAGCTGATGACCTACATGCTCCTCTCCTGCCAAAAGCCCTTTAGGGGCTGGGAAGAGCGACATGTGAATGTCCAGTGCCTGAGGACCTCAGCACGTGAAGCGTGGCTCAAGCTGTGCCTCGGACTGCATGAGCAGTGCCGTTACTCCCACCCACCGTGCTGTAGAGTATAACCTGTTGGTTTGTGTCTGCCTACCTCCTCATGTCAGGGGAACTGCTGCGGTGAGGAGGCAGTTCCTCCAGGGAGTAGGTGTGGAGGTGATCCAGTGTCTGTATGTTCCACTTCTGAAACCAGACGCCTATCAGTACACCTGTATGAAGAAAATGGGGTATCCCAAGGGATGCATGCCACCTCATGTAGGTGGAGACGTGTGTACTGAGAGATTATGAGACAATAGAGTATAATTATGGTTTTCTTTTGTGTTTTAATACCGGGATGATGATCATATTTTTGCAGATCTGCTTAGTGTTCTGGGGCTCAGAGTGTACGTCTCCTTTCCTGTTGGCCATGTGGGGCTTGCTCTCAGGCCCACTACAGTCACGTGTTCCTGTTAAAAGTTGAGGATGTATTTAGAATCATAGAATAGTTTGGGTTTGAAGGGACCTCTAAAGATCAATTTAAATGTTTTCCTTTAATCATGCGTGCAGTATCTGACTGTTTATTGCTGTTTATGCTCCAAACAGGTTATTTTTCCAAACCCAGCATTTCTTTTTACTTTGTCTTTGTTTTTTTTTGTTTGTTTGCTTGGGGGGGGGATCAAATGTGGAATATGTAATTTGTGTGCAGTGGGATAGATGGGGTGGTCCTTTCTACATCCAATGTTCTCACTTCCTTTATTGAACATACAGTTAATTATCAACATGGCATCTAAGCCTTAGAAAAAAAGAGCTCCTTAGCCCTAAAACAATGATACTTTTGTAATGATGGTTGTTATTGTTTCCTGACAGAATCCCTGAATGGATCTTGGAAAGAAGGAGGATTTGTGCCTTCTAGTACCAGCAGCAGTGGATACTGGAGCTGGAATGCTCCCAGTGACCAGTCCAACCCATCCACCCCATCTCCACCTCTGTCAGCTGATAGCTTCAAAACTTTTCGGACACCTTCCCAGCCAGATGATGGTATTGATGAAGGTGAAACAAGCAACCTTCTCTTCGATGAACCCATCCCTAGGAAGAGAAAGGTTAGCCTTGTGTTAAATTCCATACCCATGGGCAGATAGGATGTTGATAGGCTTATTTTGTTGTGAGAAATCACCCAGTAGCTCTGTCTGTGTATTCTTCCTTGGCATCCAGTTAACATAGGTACTTAGCCTAGTCAATGTGTCTCGTTCAACCTGGTCACCTCCCGCACACACACGCTGCCGTCAGCACCACATACTTCCTGGCAGATGGTGAGGTTCTACAGAGCCTTCTGCTCAGGAAACACTGGAGTAATTTCCAGAAGGTGTTGCCTCTGGCCATTCATGGAATTTCTGTCCTGCTTTGACAAATTCTCTGTGTGCAGGATGCAACAGGCAGCATTTATATGTCATCACAGAAACTGGATATGGCCTTAATAATCCTTGTTCCCTGAAAGTGCTGTTTGTCTGACAGCATGTCAGATACCTTAATACTGTGAAGCTTTCTCTGCGCAAACATATGGAGTGAAAGAAGGAAAGAGAGAGAGCTCAGCTTGGTGGCTTTTGATACAGTTATTAGCATTGGCCAAATTTATCCTCAGTCAGAGTGCAAAAGCAGACTAAATAAAACATGATGTAAAATAAAAAGAAAGGTCCAAAACTAACCCCCAGAAAGCACTCTTATGCTAGCAAGCAAGCTCCTCTGGAAGAAAAAGAAAACAAAGAGATGGCACTAGTCCAAGTTTCCATCCCTCCCAACACAACGGGACAGATTTTTACATACCAAGATGAAAAAGGGCTTTTTGTAAGGAGAAAAAACAGAGAATTTATTCTCCTTAGTGAATTTGTTTCTGGCTCAGTCTGAGACAGTTAATTGCTTCATCACCAGCAGGAAGAAGTTTTAATGATTGTTTAAACCTGTTCAGATTTATCCTTTTGCTCCAGAAGTTGCTTATTTGCTGACCCACGCTGTTCTTCCCTTGATCGTGGGAGAGGATTTTAAAATGTTTGTGTGTCTTGTTAAGAAGGAAAAGTATTTTGGAGGACACCTCTGTTATGATAAATTAGTAGTTATAGATGACTGTTAAACTAAAGACAGAGATGATTTGGAGGCACGTGGGACAGGAGAGTAGGGGTGCAGAAGTGTGCTGGTTTGCCTTCTGCTTCTCAGTTAGTGTTCATCTTAGTTACATCGTTCTCACTGCTCAGCTGTGATGAGACAGATGGGTTTACAGCTGCCATCTTTATTGTTTTCTAAGTTGCTTTCAAATATTTCTATTAATGCACCCACCATAGGTCTATTACACTATCTGTGCTGGTTCACAGGGATTTTGCTTTGTATGGCAAATGTTTTGTGTAGATAAACAATAACATTCCATGCCAAACTTGGTTTTATAAATTAACTTGCTTTCCTGCAGATTTTTTTTTTATTCTGGCCCCAGCAGAATACTTGATTTAAATACAACTTTGCACCTTTAGAAGCTGAAATAAAAATGTTTAGGTTATTTCTTCTTCAAGGCTGCAAAAGTCAGAAAGAATAAGCATGTAAATAGAGTGATTGGTAACCTTACTTCTACTCAAAGTTTCTTCCATTTCATATTAGGAGTCACTTCCCTTTAAGAAAGTTGTTTGCTTAAAAGTTTCCACTAATGTAGTTATTCCTCACCAAACCATTTATGTTCCCTTTTTTTCTTAAGTAAAACATTAAACCTGAATAGGCAATTTTTGGACTAGTCAGAAAGGAAAGCATAGGTTTTGTTCTTTATTTCTACTCAGTGAACTCTCACTTCACTATGTTAAAATCCACTGGTTTTTGCAAACTCCTAGCACTGACAGTTAAGGATCTTATGGCATCAAAACCACAGTGGAGCTAGGAAAATAATTTCACCCTCAAATTGGGGATGGATGTTAAACCCATTCTGTGTTCATAAAGATGCACAGGGTGTTCGTGATGTCACAGTGGGATTCCTAAAACCTAAATGATAAGCATGGCCTTCATCTTGTTGCTGTAGTTGGTGGTTGGTTGTGTGGTTTTGAGCTGATAGTAGTATTTAGTATTATGTTATAAAAGTAAGAAAAGGGTCGGTCAGAATTGCTAGATAAATTGTATTTAATTCGAGGGGGAAAAGGAATTCTGTATCTATCTGAATGATAGTTGTATTATGAAATAAAATAATAGAGAAGGAATTTATGTGCAATTTATGCCAAAGTAGAAGTTTTTCATATAAGCAGTGTGATCGGGTACCTCAAGTCCCAAATCCCATAGCAGCCATACTTTCAAACAGATGTTAGACTGACAAGTCTAGCATGAGAATGTTACTGCAATCAACTTATATTTTAGAAAGCCCATCAACTGAGATTATTTTTTTGTAAGTTATATTCTAATCATCATCTTTCTAGCAAATGCTGAAACCATCCACTGGCATGCAGTTCCAAAGGGTCCAAATTGAAGAAAGCACCAAGTCAACTTTTGTTCAAGATATTCACCTAATCTTACATGTAACTAAAATTACAGAATAGTAATACCGTATTTTGAAGCTCTTCCTCATGTTAATAATGTGTTCTGTAATCATGGAGAAAATTACTTTTGAGAAGTATAAACTACTTAGATTTTTTTTAAATTTAAAATGTACAAAATTGGTTTCATTTTTGAGTAAAATTAGCTTTTAAATATCTTCTGAGTTCTGCAACATCTGTGTTGTTTGTTACCACACAGTGTGCTTTATATTGACTGGTTTTCTCCAGTCTTCAAAATATCCAAGGTTAGGATGCTTATAACCTTGTTGGCTGTGCTCTAAATCAGTGATAACTCAGTTTAGATCAATGAAATTATATTAAAGAATATAAAAAGAATATTAAAATGAGAACATGCACTTTTTTTTTCTTTTACATATTGAACACAACCAGGTGGCTTCTCATTCTCTTGTCCAAATAAGGGTAACAGCAGCTTCTGAATGCAATAAAAGCATTTTTTTCCAGCTTATGGGTGAATATTGACATAGCAGAGGCTAAAGCCATGGTTTTCTGGCACAATAGTTTCTGTATTTTGCAAATTCCGTGAACGGAAACATTTATAAGAACTTGCTTTAGAAAGACCTGAATTTAAGAAGGTTCTTTGCATTAAATGAGAAGTCCTCATCAGTTTTCTTTTTTTGAAAGATGTGTAGACAGTTTTTATCTCATCTACCTCCTTTAGTGGAGGAACTTAAAATGAAAAAGCTTTGCCGGTAAATGAAGAGAGGTGAAGTTTTGTCACAAGCTGCTCCTGCAGCTTTTTACTGGGATTCTGCTGAATTCAGTAGGGTGACACACTTGACAGAAAGTATTAGATCATCACTAATTTGGAGGAACCTTCACAGTGTTTGGTAATTGTTTATCTGTTTTAGGTGGTTTGGTTTTCTTTTATCTTCATATAATTATAGAATCACAGAATTGTTTAAGTTGGAAAAGACCTTTAAGATCATCGAGTCCACCTGTTAGCCCAGCACTGCCAAGTCCACTAGTCCACAATCGTGTCCCCAGGCTACACATCTACACGTCTTAAATACCTCCAGGGCTGGTGACTCAACTATTTCCCTGGGCAGCCTGTTCTGATGCTGGCAACTCTTTCAGTGAAGAAATATTACCTAATATCCATACAACTTCCATATATCTAATCACACTTTACTCATAATTTTCAGAACTCCATGAAGGTGATGTTCAAATGCCTGTGGAAAAACTGCGGGAAGGTACTGAGCACAGCTGCAGGGATTCAGAAACACATACGGACCATTCACCTTGGGTAAGAGAGCAGTCTCTTCGGAAGTCTGAAGGATTTGGTCTAGCAGGGGAGCAATTGCACTTGGCTGGGGAGATGATCTGGATTGTCCTTGGCTTTTCTGTCTCATATCCCTGTGTTTCTGAGGAATTGGTGGAGTAGTGGGTCAAGGGGAATGAGCACTTATTCCAGCAGTGAGGCACTTTCTTTCCTGAAGTTCTGTGAACTTTGCTAGAAGGTCAGACACAGCTCTAGGTCACACTGCACTTCCCTATCAGCCTCACAGCTCAGTGGCATTTACGTGGTACGTGCTGTGTGCACATCACGTCCAGGATGACACTGTGTGGAAGACACATTTCAGGGTCTTGCATGAATACTTTCCAGCTTTGTTTCACATTAGGTCAGGTGCTTGCACCACTTCTGAGTTGAATTAATGCAAAACCAAAAAAAATTAATGCCAAAAAAAACCCCCAAAACCACAAAGCACCTAAGAAACCTGAAAAAAAAAAAAAAAAAAGAAACTGAGCCTCAATTCCATGTTGTCATGGTTTGACCCCAGCTGGCTACTAAGTACCATGCAGCCACTTATTCAATATCCTGTTCCTTCTCTGGTGGGAAAGAGAATTGAAGGAAAAAAAAATAAACCTCATGGGTTGAGATAGGAACAGTTTTAATGATTGAAAAAAAATTAAAACTAATAACATTAATGATAATAATTATGATAATAGTAATTGTAATGAAAAGGAGAGAGAGGAATAAAACTCAAAAGAAACAAGTAATGCTCAATATAATTGCTAACCACGCACTGAGCAGTGCCCAGCCCATCCCCAAACAGCAATTGGTGGCTCCCAGCCAACTCCCCCAAGTTTATATACTGAACATGACATTCTATGGTATGGAATATTCCTTTGGTCAGTTCAGCTTAGCTGTCCTGGCTGTGCTCCTTCCTGGCTTCTTGTGCCCCTGCTCACTGCTGGAGCACAGGAAACCAAAAAGTCCTTCACTTAAAGTAAGCACTGCTCAACATCAACATTATTCTCATCTAAAACCCAAAATCAGTACTGTACCAGCTACTCAGAAGAAAATAAACTATTCCAGCCGAAATCAGGATGCATGGGTATGTTACTTAAACTAGAAGCAAAAGCAAATGAATCTTTTAGGATACAAGTTTGTTTCAGAGCTTTAGTTTGCAACTGAAGTCTCCTGTGCAGTTCACTGAGCGACCTAGCTATCTCATACATAGTTACAGTGGGGATTCATGTTCTTCTCCTGTTAGGTATGTGGAAATCCATCTTTGTTGTGTAGGCCTGTGTTCCCCACTGCTTAAAAATTAAAGTGACCATGTGGAGTTAATCTGATGTGGAGCTCAGGATAGTCTTGAAAAGATCGTAGCAATTATTGTCGGGCTTAAGAGTAATGGTATCAGAAACAGAGAAAATCTCTCTCAAAATGCAGTTAGGAACATAGATTTGCCCTTTATGTTTTGAGGACATCCTTTTTGTGGCATAGGAGAGGGAGAAGTAAACAGCAGAACTTTCCTGGAATTTGGAGTTAGTAACTTTGCTGAGAGAGGAGTTTTGGTGAGTAGCTAGTTACAGCCTGATGGATGGTACTTCTGGTAGAGCCTTTCAAACCTGCTGGATCCACTCTCTCTCAACTAGTCTATTGAGTAAGGTGGTGAGAGGACCTCAGGTAGAGGTATATAGGCAAGCAGGCTGAAAAACTGGCTAGGGGATGGTTTTGGGGTGCATTCATGGGAAAAGGGAGGCCCAGTGTTCAGCCCTGATATGGACATGCAGGTAGGAAGACACTTAGAGCTCTCAGATTTCCTGTATGGAAGATTTGGGAGGAAATACACGTGTGAGCTGTGAGTTACCTGTGTATAGCATGTGGATTATGAATGTACTGCATTAGGGGTTTGACTGGGCTGCTTCAGTGCTAGCATTTGCACTCAGACCTGCAGCAGGTTAAACGTTAAGGCAATTAAACCTGCATCCCTTCCTTCAACAAGTCTGCTTCTGCACCAGAAAGCCCTAGCCCTTGCAAGCCAGCCTGTGTAAGTCCCTTCTCTACCTGTACCTGAGTGAGTTGCATGGTGAGTATGTTTTCTAGCAAATTCTCATGTTATGCTAAGGAAAGTTATGGTGAATGACAGCCATAACTACGTCTGGTCTACTTAAGTAACTTATTATAAGATTACATATTATTTGCTGTAACATTAATAAAGTATATCTTGCCTGTGTCTGTTATCTTTACCTGTCATTCTGTGGCTGCTCTGTCATTGCCAAAGTCAGAGTGCGTTGAGGTTCTTGTTAACTTTAAGGAATGAGAAGGTGATACTTAAGATGAAGGAGTCAAACATCTACTCCAAGGTCAAAGAATTATGCACGAGTAACACAGAAAGAAAAAAAAAAAAGTAATTCCTACTTCTTTTCCCTTCAGACTAGATGATTTTCTTTTCCTCTGCCCCTTCCCTGCAGCCAGAATGCTGATAAAGTAGGTAGGGTTGAAACCTCAAATATTAATTTATTGACAATATGAATATATTTGCTCATGCATCTAGAATTTAAAATTTACCTTGGTGTTTTTGCTTTCATTTAATCAGTTCTTCATTCTTTGTCTTGATACAGACGTATAGGAGAGTCTGACTACAGTGATGGAGAGGAGGATTTTTACTATACAGAAATCAGGCTCAACACGGACTCAGTAGCTGATGGCTTAAGCAGTCTTTCCCCAGTCTCTCCATCTCTAGCATCTCCTCCTTCCTTTCCCACCCAAGATGCAATCCGTCCTGAAACTTCCTGTGCCAAAACTGAGACTAAATTGATGACACCTCTGAGCCGCTCAGCTCCTACCAACCTCTACCTCGTACACACGGACCATGCTTACCAGGTAATGCCAGTCAGTGAGCTCCAGGGATTACAGTGATGTCATTATTGAATAAAGAAATGTCAGATCACAGTGTCTGGGTTTTTAAGAGCCAAGTTTAAAAAGCCATTGCTTTTAATGGGCTGAAAAGTTTTCAAGGGCATCCCAAGGGGGCTGTTTCATTTAAATATAGATGTCTGGTTCTGAGCTAATTGTTTGTTTGTTTATGTACCCGCTGTAGATTTTGGGGTGCTGTTTATCCAACCGCACATAGGTACATACTTTAGATTGAGAAGAATTGCTCTGTGATCCCACTGCCTACATTAGTTAATTTTTCACTGATCATAAGGAGGGCCCAAGGTGCCATGCTCAGATGTGGTCTTCTGCATTGTAAAAATACTTAAATCAGGTGAATCCCTCACAGAGTCTTCATTTCAGCTCTGCTTGTACTGGATGTGTTTGTAGGCAAGTGCCCAAGGGATGCCAGGAACAATTAATTTTCTCAGTTTGTACAGTGTGAGATGTCAGTTTGCATATGTGAAGTAGAGCAAGAAGAAAGAAAAGGCATAGATGGTATCCGTCTACTCTTAAAGGTAATGCTTTTCAAATGGCAAATATTGCTATACCAAAACCTTCCAACTAAGTTTGGACAGAAAGCATTAATTTTAATAGTGCACTAAAATTTGACATGTTTTGGGGTGGATACCATATGAGAAAAGAGGGGTAGAGGCTTTGAAGTAGTGTGGTCCATGACCTATGTATGCACCAGAGAAATGAACTCTGTTAAATTTATCAGGTGCAATAACTTTGATATACAGCATTGTGCAGATAAAACCTTTGTGTGTTTGGAACAGACCCACTAAAAGGCCAGAGGGAACCGTACAGAATTCACAGGCTTGTTTTAGACTTTTGTGAGCATTAAAGCTTGATATCTCAGGTGGAAGCTGCATCAGGTAACACACCAACCTGGGGACTGATCAAGCCAGCTAGGAGAAAAACTTTTATCTCAGTGTGGCTGAAGCCCTGCCTCAGAGAGTGAGGCACCAAGTCTAGGCTACTGAGAAGAGTCTTGCTTCATTTGGGATTTGCAGTAGTGACAGTCTACGCTGCTCTGTGGAGATTCACACCATCGTGTTTGATAAGCAGCCTCTGAATATAGCACTTGACTAAGGAAATCCTAATTCAAGTGTTTAAGGCACTCAAATTGGATTTGAACTGATGTATTCCATACTGTGAGACTACAAGTGCCTGAGCCGTGTCTCCTTTTCATGTTGCTCTGGTTTCAAGACTTTATCTCGTCAGTGAGGAGTGACAAGAGTCCACACTGTTCACAGCTTTCAATTTGGAATCAGGAGGCAAGGTCCCTGCTCAATCATTCAGGCTGTCCTTGCAAGCGAGGCAGCTTCTGCAGAGCAGGTCAGTGGTATCCTATGCCGGGATCCCTCCAGTCCTGTAGGAAGAGCCAGGAGGCAGGGTGGAGATCCAGCTCTCACCAGCCAGAGGAGAAAGTGGAAACATTGGGAGTGAAGAGACAAAATTCACAGCTCAAGGAACTTTGATAAGGGAGGCTGAATAATATTCATCCCAGGATTCCTTTTAAAAAAAAAAAAAAAAAAAAAAGAAAAGGAGCCCAAAGCTGGATCGCAAGAATCTGTTAGTTGCTGTTTCCTGAATGACTGGAAAGTGTCAAGCAGACTACGTGCAGTAAGGAAGGTATAAACAGGAAGTGAGCAGGCAAGTCCTGACACTCTTCTCTGACCCAGTCCTATGGGTGAGGAAAAATTTAGAAAAATAATTGAAGAAGTTGTGGAAAGTACTGCTGTTGAAGTTAACTGCAGTGGAGGAACCCCAGAGAAAGAGGATACTAGAACAGTCTATGAAGCAGTGCAGAAGAACAAATCTTTCTGGATTGAAGGAGAGCATTTGATCTTAAAACTTATAAGCACTATTTGTTAGGCTAGAGATTAAATTTAGTGTAGGAGAGAGAACTGGAAAGTCACAAAGAAAGCAATGAGTTATTTTGAATGTTAGTGGAGCTGAATGAAAAGCTGTTCTTGGCCCTGACGTCATTTTCATAAAATCATTTTTGGTACTACACAAATAGTATAATAAAGTTTGCTGATAACAAACTCAGGAGACATCAGCAGTAAGGGAGTTATATATCATGCTTACATGACTGGATGATCTTAAGAATAATAGGGTTTGGATGCAGTTTAATGTCAGAACATGCAAAGTCCTGCACTTAAGGAACGAGTGAGATTTTTCTGCTTTAAACTGGAGTAGTTAGAAAATTATGTGAGAAGGACACCTCTGTTTATTAATCAAGCACAGAATGACCATGAGCCAACAACAACAGAACTGTGAAGGGGAAAAAAAAATAGTTGTCAGCTCTCTTGGGTAAGAAATACCTAGGAGAGACAGGGAATTTTAATGCTGTTGTACAAGACTCCCATATAACTTCAGCTAAGATCCTGAGCAGAGTTCTGATAAGTCATCAGCATTGAAGAAGGAGGGCAGAGAGGACAGGGACAACGTCTCCAGACCAGGGACTGGTACCTCAGGCAAGCAGGGGTGAGGAGAGGATGCGATGTTGCCTGGGAATAAAGTGAGAGGCTCTTTCAGCATCTAGGATTTCCCCTTCAGGTCTTATTCAAATACCTGAGGAAGTTCCTATGCTGACGCCAGGTTTGAGTACCCCGTGAGGGATACTGAGAAGAGGCAATGCCATCTCACTGCTCATCCAGCTGCCTCCAGTTCTTTCTGTCCTGTTTGAACAGGGGAGTTGCCAGATTTTCTTGATGCCTTTCAGCAAAGTTTTTATATTTTATGGAGCTCAGCGGATGTTTGCTCTGCATGCCTGTGTGGATTCTCTTGGAGCTGTCAGCAGGCTCGGCAGCCCACAGAGCATTGCTGCTGTACATGGAGGCATCTGGTGGTCTCACTTACTTTTCCTTGGAGAGACTCCAGGGGATTGCTTCAGCACTTGTTTACTCTGAAGATTAGTGGGGACTATCAGGTTGTAGTTTGTCATCACTCCTCTGTGCCCGGCAGCTCAGGAAAGAACTCTCTCCCCTGAAGCAGTGAGACAATTTCAGCAGCCTCAAACATAAACACTACTTAAATGAGTGTATTGCAGCACTGTCAGGCACAGGCAACTGAAAGCCAGAAGTGAAAACTCGTTTTAGCAAGTTCTTAATAAGTTTAGAGAGGGATTTTTTTTTTGTGGTGTAAAAAACCTGAAATTCAAGGGTCAAAGTGCGCCTGTGTTCATGGTGGCTGCGCACAGTTCTGCTATGCAGGGTAGCTTCACTGCTGTGAATTTCCTGATTCTGAAAATAAAATGGGATTCAAAAGGAGGCAGGAAAGAATTCCTGAGGACTCATAGCCCAGTGAGAAAACCAAAGTAAAGGCACAAGATGAAAGGTGCACAACTATCTGAGCTCAGATTATCGTGTTTTGCACTCCAGGGCAGCACTGAGTATTACATCCTAGATGGGAAGATCATAAGAGTTCAAAGACCCCAGGAGTCCTTAAATATTTGCTTTAATTTAAGAGCTGGTTTTGGATCCCCAGGACGGTTTTCAACTCCTTGTTTTTCGTAAGAAAGACTGTTTTAATTGGGATGATTGTTAACATTTATCTGATAAACCAGAAATGGCCAGGCCTTACTGTTGACTGGGTTTGTCCAAGAAGCCTCACTACCCTCACTTCAGTTGTGTGAACCAGCTGCTGTCAGTTTAAGTATGGCCTTGTTCATCACCATGGAACAGGTGATCATTTGTAGTATTTTTGCTTCTTGCTGTCATTATTTTAGAAGCTAAGAGTGATCATCTTTGTCTAAACAAGGTTTAGGAGCAATGATATATAAATATAACTGTGTCCCTTCCTTACTGGCTTATCCATGATTATCCGTCTCACAAGGGTAAAATGCTTGTCACCATGCAGTTTTTTTCTGCCTTGGGAAGTCTCTCATAGATTTACCATTTTGAGGAGGGAAAGATCCTTAGAAATGCTTTGGAAGAAGAATGGCTCTTATTGCTGGAATAATATTTTCTTTTCACACAGGCCACTCCTCCGGTGAACATTCCAGGGTCAGCAAAATTCACTCCCAATGGCAGTAGCTTTAGCATCTCTTGGCAGTCGCCTCCAGTTACCTTCACCGGCATTCCAGTAAGTGAACATCAAAAAAAGAAGGAAAAAGTTTTTAGATCTTCCTGTTTTGTTTCACAGTGTGTAGTGATAGAAGTAAATGTGACATAACAGATACCAAAAAGAAACAAATTAAATTCATGCCTCAGTTTGCCAGCATGGCTGGTTTTAACACCTTTGTCAGTCTCTTTAATTCAGTACATTTACTTTTTTTTTTTGCATCACTGTCTACAAAAAAAGAAGTTAATCTATAGTATATTTTTTCAACTATGCTTACAAAACATTCTGATACATGAAAAACTTGGCACTTATGTGCTCCTTTTCTTAAAAAAACTAGATGGAAAATGAGTGAGGTGATGGTTATGCTAACAGGCCAGTTGGATTCAGGCAGTAGGGCTGTTACCTAAATGGACTCTTGAAAGGCAACTGAAAGAAAAAGTAAGATGAAACGCAAAGTCCAGCTTTAGGAGGCTTCAGATGGGTAACCCCTACTGATAGCAGAAAATTGTTATTTTATACAGAAAATGCATTCAATATCTATTGCATTTTGATATTAATATATATTGCACTTTGACAACTTTTTAATGAAGATGTATTAGATGTAAATTTGACACTGACCCTTTCCTCAAAAAAGCCTGATTCCATGGACAGGACTGCAGAAATGCAGTGTTTGCTTAAACATAGACTTCCAGTGGCCCTAACCATACATGCTGTAGGTGTGGGTATGGAGGGGGAGTGAAAAACCTTTATGAAGAGTTCAGAGGGATTTGGCTTCTAGTACCTGGCATGGAGAATGCTGAAAAAACAATGTAAATCACTATTATGAATAGTGGAAAATCTCTATAATAAATATAAATAGATAGTAATGTAATGTATCCTCGTTTTATTGGAAATAATTTTTTCATTATAAATTTATGTTCTCTCATCATAAACTTTTTTCATATCATAACATCTCATTTAATATTACACTTTATGAATTTGTGAATTTTTAAAGTGTGTTATATAAGGCACATTGCTTATCCAAAGAACCATACATCTTTTTTTCTCATGACAGCAAATATTAGACAAGGCAATAAGATACTATTTCCCTCCCTTCTCTTCACCAAGTGAATCTCCAAAGCTTCTTACTGTCAACCTTTGGCAAATCTTGGAGATTTTCTGCAGAGGCTGTGGCATCCTGCAGAGCTGATAAAAAATGAAAGTGGCTGAATCAATTACAATGCACTCTGCCAATGAATATTTATTAAATTCCATCAAGGAACAACTAACAGTGAAAGACATCATGCTGGCAGCAATTTCAACAAGAGTGCCTTGACAGAGCGTGCTATCTGCAAAGTTCCCTGAGAATTTGATTTCCCAACAATGGGGTTGATACGGAGTAATTATGAAACTGGCTCCTTTTGTGGTGTAGCAAAAACTGGTGCCAGGAATCTAAAAATGCAATTAGCCACACTGTAAATCAGAAACTTAAGAGGACAGGATTAGACACGTACATATTGAGTTTACTTGTTCAGGCAACAACGCTGATCAGTGGCTGTAGACTAGAGAGTTCTCAAAAGAATTTAAGAAATGCCAAATCACTTTCTGAGAATTGTATAGAGATGCCAATGATTTAAGGTACAATTTGAAAATACTCCCAACACAAAAGCCTGGGGAAGCAGTGATGCAGAATTATAAACTGCTCAGGGAACCATATAAACTGCTATTACATCTCTAACAACATTTATAAGGCTGTTCAGCAAAGAAAAAAATAATGAGAAAAAAATCTTTTAGATTTGCACACATTTGACTATTCTGTCATCAGCGAGATCATTTATGAGTTACAAAAGCTTGCCTGCAGTGAAAAATTAGGTGCAGTAAGTGAGGGTACAGATGCCAAATGATGTTAAATAAATACCAGTATATTAAATGAAAGTTTTATTTCTCCGGTTTCAAAGTAAATTAGATATTGCTGTATAACAACGGGGCTCTTTTAATTCCCACTCTTACACAGAGTGTAACTACTTTAGAAAAGCTATATTATAGGGGATTTTCTCCTTCTCTGATGATGTTTATTTAAGCCCAGACTAAGTGACAGAGGCAGCATGCTATAAACTCATACCACTGTGTACATACACGGATCCTGGGATTAGACCCAAGTCTGTAGCACCCAAGGGAACTTCAGAGAGTAAGTCCAAACCATTATTTTTTGCCTGACCCTTAATATTTATTCAAGCAGTTTTCTAAAATGGCTTTGGAATACTTTTTTGGTCTGGACAAACTACTGAGCAGGAAAAGATTACGTACAGATTTACAAAAGTGCGTAGGTCTACACATTTTTTCATGTTACTAGTGATGTTGGAATGGAGCCATTCTGCCCTTGACCCATTAGAAGGCTCTTGTATCCTGGTTTTGAGCAGTCATCTTCTAGACATGTATGTCAGTAATTAGGTCCATGAGAGAGACAGAATTTAAAAATAGTCTCCTTTTGTGTTTTGTTTTTTTTTGACACATACTGTAGTGTTTCCACATTCATTCCTGTGGACATTGAATTTCAGTGACACTGAGCGCTCCCTGCTTGCTTTCCTGGGAACCAGGGTGTTCAGACATCATGACTCGCATTAAGCCCTCGCTTTTGGACAGTCTTTAGCAGAATAGCACTGACGGGCCTTTGTGAATGTGAATGTGCTTATCAGCAGGTTCCTGAGTGCCTCTAAACAAGCCAAACATGCAGCTGGACCAGTCAGGGTTCAGTATGTGGCTGATTCAGGCTTGGGGGTATTCACAGCATCTAAACATAGGCATTTATTTAGAAGTCTTGTAGTCATAAGGGAGGAGAAGAGGCTGAGGTCACTTGGTTTGTTCAGGCTGGAGGAGACTGAGGGGAGACCTCATTGCAGTCTACAACTGCCTTGTGACTGGAAATAGAGGGGCAGACACTGATCTCTTCTCTGTGACCACTGACAGGACCCAAGGGAACAGCATGAGGCTGAGTCAGGGGAGGTTTAGATTCTATGATTCTGTAATTAGGGGGAACTTCAATCTCCTTTGTGCTCTCAATCATGCATAAGTTAGATTCCCAAGGCACATGAAAAATACGCTTTTTCTTACTATTTTCCTAAGATAACTTTGCAGGTGCGAGGTTGAATGTTGGCACAGTTATGAGTCACTGCTAGGTGCTGTTCTCTGCGTGAAGCAGAATAAACAGGATGATGTTTGCTCTACCACTTGGGACTGAACTAGGAGAAGAAAATCAGGCACAGCCTGAGGATGTACAAGGAGGGTGAACTAAATTATGCAAGTGGAATGAGCCATGGTGGAGTCTGTATCTGTTGGTAGTGGAGGGCTTAACATAATGACCATAGAGTTCCACTTTTATGTAATGTAGGATAAAAGTCTTCCTGAATACCAGTGAGATCTCCACTGTGTAATACTGGCTTTTACCTGCCTGCTCATAACCCAAAAAGGTTGAACAGGCGAGATCTGTAAGTTTGATAATCTGATGTTTACAGATCACGAATCTCTGTAACCACAGTTTCCCACCTGTAGTTGTAACTGGAGACTCCAGGTCCTTGCTTCAAATGAACACTGTCATTTCACTCTGTGTTAAACAGCACTTCAGAGTGAAAAGCCCCCCTGAAAGGGCAAGGACTGCATTCTCAGGGCTTCCTCTTAATCTGCTCCTAGTGTCCCCTACAGAGGAGAACAGCTGACTGGTATTGTTTAGACCTGCTGCAAAGTCTATCAAGATACACGAAATTCACCTTCAGTGCAATCTGGCTGCCTTGATGTGCCAGCCGGTGGAAACCATCGTGCAGACATCCTCCCTGTCGAGGGTGAGGGGAGTCTGCACACTCCAATTACTGCGCAAACCTGTTCTGTGTTTGGAAGCAGTCAGGATAATTGCTTATAACATAGGAGGCCATCTAAGTACTCTTCTGTTCAGTGGCAACCAGCTAATATATTGAGTGTCAGTTAGTAGTGGTAGACACAAAATAATTTCAGGTTTTTAAAATGTTTCAGAACCCCAGCAGAATGACTGGAGATCTCTGGTTGTTGGTAATGACTGGAGAACTGTGCAGTGTGTGGTAAATGCCAAATACCAGAAAAACGCTATTGCTTTGAATTTTATCTTCAGTTTTTCAATCATTCTTAGGTAAACAAGGGTACAGGTTGATAAAAGATCAGAAAAAGAAGTAGTAGACAACAAGCTGCCCTTAGTATTCTGGAGTGATAGAAGGAGCTAGTGTGATCTCTGGAAGTATAAAACATGACTTATGGTAAGCAGGCCGAGAGTGAGGAAGTTTCTTTCAAGCTTTGCAGGTCCATTTCGTATATCAGTAATGGTCTAAACTTGTTTAGAGTGTGAGCCACACATGCAGTTAAATCAGAAATTTCCATAGTTACCAGCCGAGAGTAAAAGGTGAAAGAGTGGCTGTACTCCATTACAAGCATTAGTTAGTTTTTTGCTACTGTGTAGTAGATATAAAATAGACTTTGTGTCAAAAATCAAAGCATATACAGTAATTCTCTTCAAGTCAGGTCAGTCAGTTCCCATTCTTCCAAATATTGTAAGACTTCAAAAAGGCAGGAGTGAAAACTTGTAGCAGTGCAGAGAGCTATGACCGGATCTGCAGTTCCTGGCTGCAGGAGGCTGATTCGGTGCACCAGATACCCAAATGAAGCTTGCTACATTCAATATACAACAAAAAATGAGTGGGCATAATTTTATTCTAGTGTTTTAGATGTAAAGCTGTTGTGGTCTTTACCCAGGAGCAAAATAAAACTGTAGTGGTAAATAATTTAGGAGTTATTTAAGGGCAAGCATTATGCCATGTGATTACTCAAATAATGTTGCCAGCCCCCAAGCTCACGTAGAAAACTTCTTTGGAAAGTCTCAGGAGACCAAACTACACACATTCACAAAGAGGGTGCCTGCTGAAAAGGTTACTGTGCGGAAGAAAGATAATCCAGTATCCCTTGTCAGCAGCCTTGATCAGAAGGGCTCCCTTGCACTCTTATTAAACCTCAAGGGGACACATTGTAACTGCCCTGCAGCAAAGCCCCTTCTTCAAGATGTCTCTCCACAAAGAATGCCTAGTCACAGAAGGAAGCCAGAAGTGGGAATCCCTTTATTTCATAGCAGGTTACTGGTATTGATCTCAACACAGGACAGAGTTTATTTATCCAGTTATTTTCTCTGCTTAAATTGGAGACAGCTTTCCTAAGAGCTGTTCAGAATTCTTAAGAATGAATGCATATTCATTTCCCAAATACAAAAAGTGATGCTAATCTGTATTCTGATTTGCTCAATGAGGAGCTCTTGAAAGTACAGGGAAACAAAGTGGAGCTGATGCAATGTACCTAATGCTAAGTAGACATCTTTTCTGAATAAACCTGTGGCTTACTTATGTTTGAATGTTATATAATCACCTTTCCTGGGTATCCTTGCCACAATGAATCATAATGTGCATTTTCTGGGAAAAAGTGTTTAATCTGCATTCATATGTGTATGTTCTTCATAAGCAGCCTTTTTGTCTGTATTGGCAGGTTTCACCAACCCATAATCGTCCTGCAGGGAGTGGAGAGCAGAAACAGTCCCACACAGTTCTTTCGTCACCGCCTAGAGTAGCATTTGGCTTGAGGTATGGGACCATTAGCTCCTGCTGACATATCAGCAGCCTCACAACCTGGAGGGCGTTCAGTAAATAAGATCTCAGTGGCCAAAGAAACAGGCAAAGCACACCACCAACCCCAGTTGCAGTTGTCAGGCAGTTTCTTACCAGGATGCTTCAGAGTAAGCATTCAGAACCTATTTTGCTTTTCATTTCCATCAAAGGTAAAGTTCAGGGGAAGAGTGAGTTACTGCAAAATTAAAAAGGCAGACTGTGAAGCAAAACTGCATGCCTTATGCCAGGCACGTCTGGAGTTCAGATGCGGTCCTAAATTTACCCTGTAAAGCAGTGCTGCCCAGATTCCCTGCCCCAACTGAAGCATCCTGAACTGCTTTGTGTGGCTTTGCTTTTTTCCCTGAAAGGCTGGGCCATCTTACATGTTCACCACCATTCAGTCAGAATGGTATTTGACTTCAACTTAATTATAAAAAAACAAATCTCACAATAGATTAGATCAAGGCAAAGCTTTTTATGCCTTGTCTTCCTAGACATAAGCTGCATTCACTTCCACTGAAGTTAACTGGTGTTTGACCAGAACCTACTTTAAAAGTGCTCAAAAATTATGTTAAAAAATCAAACTGTGATGCTGAATTTCTTTTGGTAAAGAAACTCATTATTTCTCACAGTCTTAAAGATGACTATACCCTAAAATGAGACAAAAAAAAATTCATGCTTTTAATTTTCTTTAGAACTCTCAGATCATTGCATATGCTACAAACCAAACTCAGAATCTTCCCCAATTCATGGATTGTGCCCATTAATTAATGTTTGGTGATCAGAAAATGTGTAGGCATGCAAGAGAGGCATCACCAGGCAATTCCCACATATGCCATGCAGTATATAATACCGATATTAAACAATTCTGTCAGTACAGTTATTTCATTTAAAGATGTCTCGACAGCTGGCACTGCTGTAGTGAATGTTGGGTTGCTTGGTGAAGCTTTGCTCCTCAGGTTTGCTGGCTCTCTGGGTGTTGAATAACAAAAGTTCCATTTTAACAGTTACTTGGATCATTTTCTAAACTTGCGAACTTTTGAGTGTGGCTGTAAGATGAAAAGCAGGACAGTTGTTATAGCTGTAACAGCAGGTGCTGCCCGCCTTGCTGGCTTTGGGGACGACAGAGAAGGAGCACATGTGAACGTGCTGCAGGTGAGGGTAAGGGTTAAAACTTTTCACTCACTTTTTTGGTTTTCAGTCAGTGAGCTCAGAGCAAACTGTGCAGGAAGGACTGGCAAGCTTAGGAGCTGGTAGCTTTTCTCCTCTTTGGCATAGCTGCTACCTGCTGGTGGTCAAGGTCTGATGCTATGCCAAGTATTTTTACCACAGCTCTGCAGCACTTCTGCCTGATGTGACCTGGCCTGTACTGTGGAACAGCTATGACTGTCCATCAAGGCATTTCATGAGGCTAAACGACAATTTATTAGTCCAGGTTTAGTTGCTGGCTGAAGTCAGGGGTCGTCCCATGAGCAGAGGAGCAGGCTCAGCAGCTGCTGCAGAGGCTGTGGAAGCCAGGCGAGGAGAAGGCTTGGTCCCTCAGAAATGTGTACTCACAGCCATGTCTGTCCGTCTGCTTCGTTAGCTCCCAGCTGACTTGAAAACAGCCTAAATCCTTTTGGAAACACCAGGGGTCTCTGCCTGCTGCACTCCATTGAGATTGTTATCCTGATTTTAGGGTTAAAAGCAAAGCTACTAAAGCATCTCCTTAACGAGCTTCCCTTTCTCTCTGACAGGAAGCCTAGAGGGGAGGGGAAAAAGTGTCGGAAGGTCTATGGGATGGAGAACAGAGATATGTGGTGTACTGCCTGCCGATGGAAGAAGGCCTGCCAAAGGTTCATCGACTAACGATTGAAATTATGCAGAGGATTTGGGGATGGGGGAGGACAACAGCAGAACCAGATTGCTGCAGCTGCACTGTATCACTTCCCATTTTCCCCTCCAGTGATGTGGTGTTGGGGGTTTTGTTTTTTTGGGGTGGTGTTTTTTTTTTAAGAGCTTTGTATTTCAAAGTGAAGCACTTGTAGCCAAGGAGAAGCACTAATTAAAACCTGTGTGGAGCAATAGAGCAAAAAAAAAAGCAAAACCAAGAACACATGACAAAATTTTGTCTTAGTAAGCATGGAAACCAGAGCAGCTATTAGTGTTCTTCTGTAAAAGAAAGGAAAAAGTTAACTATTTTGCTAACTCTGTGAGCTACTTGCTCCTTCAGATCATTTTTAACCATTTCAGTCTCTGTGCTGTGAACATCTGTATCTGCTAAACTGATTAAGTTTTCTTTTCCTTAAACGAAGATATCTTTTTGAAAGCTTTCTAATAAACACTTCAGAGTCATATAAGCTACAGTTTTCTCAACAAAAGCTGTACTAAGACTGGATACTGCTAAATAATTCTCCTGATACGAATGATCATTATTATATTTTTGAAAAGAGGATGTGGGGAGGAGTTGGGATTTTCGTTTGTTTGGTTGGTTTGTTTGTTTGTTTATAGGGGAAGAGCAAAGTGAATTTGCAAGAAGGACAAGCAGTGCTCCTGGAAGATTTTTAAACCAGTCACAGACCAGTGGAGTGGAACAAAGTAATTTAAGTACGAAATTGGATTTTGACCCTCTAGAGGAAGAAAAGCAGCAGTGTAAAGTCACCAGCAGATATTGTCACGAGAAGCTGAGGGAAGAAAGCCAGTGATGCTTGATTGAAACCCATAAGAATATATTGGCGGTCCAGTAGGTTTCTTACCACTCTTCCCTTTCTGAGAGAGGATGAATAGTAGGACCAGCACGGCTGTTGCTGCAGGAGGCCTATGAAGAACTTGCAGCCACTAGGATTATCTGTAATATCCATTCAGGGACATGATCCAGCCCAGCAGTTCTGCTTTTGCTTCCTTTTCTCATATTTGAGAGATTGTTGTTAAGATAATGGTTTGCTCAGCTTTTTTTTTTTTTCTGTTAAAGCTACTAAAATTTATTTGATGCAAAAAAATGGTAAAGAAAATACCCCCTTTCCACAACATCATCTCAGAAAAAGAAGTACAACAGCAAAGGAGCAGCGTTATTTATGGTAAAAATCAATTTCTTAAATAATTTTGTTATATGAACTAAAAAGTTTCTCTGCTTGCAGTACTTCGATAGGTTTGGGTCATTTAGTTTCTCAGTCCTTTAGGAAGTATACACCGGAGTGCGGCAAGCTGGTGTTCTGTCTCAACTTGTATCAAATTACTGTTAATTAATGATTATTTCAATGCAAAAATAAAGTAAGGATTTACTAGGAAATGAATGTATATGGTTAAATAATACTTGCCTAGAAAAGAAAAGAAAACAAAACACCTTAAAAAAATCAAATACACAGAAGCAAAACTTTACCTATTAATTGCAGCATGCAGGGCTGAAAATGCCTGGATTATTTTTTCTTTCATAATATTTGAACAAATTAAATTTAGACCAAATCTTTTTTTTTTTTTTTTTTTTTTAAATTGTCTAAGCTGGCTTGTTCTCAGTGAAATAAGGGAACTTTTAAATATCTGAACAACTTTCTAAAATCTGGTCCAAAGTTCAATTGATAGCTTTATTAAGTGTGCAGTGCTGCTTGTGCCTATGTAAAAGCACAGAATAACAATGCAGAATTTTGGAATATACACTATGGATTCAGTAAGGTAGCATGGAAAAGAAAAATTTGTAATAGGAGATACTGAAGGTTATCATCTGATTTTCTGTGAACAAGTTAATTGGGCAATCAGGTGCCTAATTTAAGCATGCTATTTCTGCAGTTATTTACAAATTGTGTGATTTACATGCACAAGTGGCAAGATATGCTTGCATGCATGCAATTACTTGATTTTTTGCCCAATTGTGTTTTCTAAGTCATTAAAAAAAAAAAGAAAAATAGACTCTGAAAGCTAGTAAGACCCTGAAATATATACACATATATGTGTGTATGAGTATTTTTGTATGTGTGTATACATCTATGTAAAACTATATATATTATATAGTTTTATATGTGTATATAAAATCTGGAATCAACAGGGAGGAGAAAGATTGTTTTCTTTACAAACAGAAAAAGCAAGACACTAAGGGTCAGTGGATATACATAACCACTGTATTATCTCCTTTCCTCTTAGTAAAACATGGGGCGTGGGTTTTCTTTAAATGTTGTATTTTTTCAATTTCCATAGTAAAATACCTCATAGTAATTAATAGACATTTCATATTCAAACACTGGGCTTGCTGGTGGTGTGCTTACTTTGATAGAACTTTAAAAATTTGGTACTTTTTCAAGATACTCCTGCCAATTTGCCCCCCCCCCCACTCCTATTTTTACAAGCACTCCAAGACTATAAAGCATTCCATGATTAATTTGACTGTTGTCAGACTAACAGTATTTGCCTCTGTATTTGTTGTTCCCCTCCTTTTTGCTTTGGAAGATTTTTTTGAAAATAATGTATCGGATTGTGTATTGTTTCTATAATGTCATGGCATTGTGAGCACCTTTCCTGAGGGCACTTTATGAATTGTTGTAATGAGATTATTCTTTATGAATTTCTACACAGAAGAATGGTTTTGTCGCCAGACCAGATTGCCCTCTGGTACAAATTGGATATGGATTATGTAAGGGACAAAAGCCACAAACCATCAAAACAGGAGAGAAAGCTGGTGTCAACAAGGCAGAGGACAGAAAGGTACTTGATAAATCCTGCCAGGACAAAACTAAGCTACCAGTATTTTTACACAACCTTTAATCAGCAGTTTATATTAAATCAGTTTTGGATCTTATGGCTGTGGCATTTTGATTCATAATTAGGCACTTCTGGAGTTACCATGTCTCACCCATGGCCACGACAGCAGGACGGCACGGCTGTCCGGGCCTGCACCAGTGGCTTTGTGTTTTGAGCTCCAGTCACTTGTCACATGAGCATTTCAATGCCCACCAAAATCCCTTTGTGATCCTGACACACCCAGCAAGGACAGAAATGTCAGCAAAGGCTTTCCTCTGCTGGCAGTAGTGAGCATAATCTGGAGTAACCTCTTCCATTTTCAGTCTCTTGCTTCTGTGTTGCTTTGAGCTGCTTTGCTGTCCTTCTGACACCTGGTTTATCTCACATGTCTGCACTGACCTCTCCAAAACAGTCTGATTTCTCTGTTTTCCCAAGGAAGAGCTAGCCTGAATGCTGTGGTCATTTGTTGTCATCAGTACATGCCAATTCCCCTATTTTCTGTTCCTCTGTGGGAGGTAGGTCATTGTCTCTGACCTCCCAGGGAAACCAGAAGGAATGGCCTGAGCGCATCGTGCAGTCTCTGTGTGCTGCAGGGATTTGGATGTGGGTTCATGTATGTTGAGAGACAGAACTTGATGTAAAAATGTAAGGACCTGTTTTATTGTTACTATTATTATCTATTTAACAACTTCTTGATACTGGTAACAGAAATTGCCAACATCAGTATCAGTGTGGAGATCAACTGTATTAATTCTGAATATTTTGCTTTAGGAGTTTCCTTATTAGAACAAAACTCTTCCCCATTCTCCCATCCCATGAAAGATCTGGAAAATGAGATAGTTTTAGAAGTGGAAAATTTTAATAAGGGACTGCGATCCAACTGCTCCTGTATGAAGCTATTGGACGTTGAAACTCAGATCATCTTAGTCATAAAACGATTTCCACCCAGAACAATGTGCCTGATTCTCTAGTGCCTTGCACAAATGTAACAGGATATACAAGATGCAAAAGTGAGCAAAGACTCTTCTGTTCCAATCTGCAAGTTTACACTTACTTTTAACCAATACCGGTCGTCACCTAGCATGTACCTGTTGGCATGTCAGCCATGCTTGTGCTAATAAGCTGAGCAGAATGCCTGTCTGTCCAATTACTTTTTCCAAATCCTTAGCCTTGTATGAACGTTAGCTGTCTAATTATCTACAAGTTCCTTGCAGCCATTCACTTTTGCCGACATCACTGTCTTCATTCCTTTTCCCTTTTCTTTTATGATAATGACTAGATAGGCAACACAACAGGAGGTAAAGCTTTAGCCAAAAGTTGTTGCAGAACCTGCATGTTGGAACAGATTCCAGCTCCATACAATGTCCCAGATGTTCTTGTCTCTGACTTTATCATTCTGACCCAGTGAGTCGGGATGTTTTTCTATTGCTTGCTGTGGCTTGGGACCAGCTAAAGTGGCCCTGCCGAGAATCCAGGACAGTCGCTGTGAATGTGGCAATACAAAGTGATTTATTTCTTCCCCTGCCTGTAAATATGTTAGAACACCATCACAGAAACAGGACATGAAATTGGAAGCTTGCTAGCCATGTGCAGAGACATAGGTGGTTGCCAGTGAGGCTTTTTTCTGTGGGTTCAAACTATAGGCATCTGGAGAAAGTTGTGCTGCACCTTTTCTTAGAAACACTTTGATACGGAAACATTTACCAAGTCTCATCTTGGTCTTATATTTTATTCAATCTTCCTGAAAGGTGGTAGCACTGGAACTGAGACAATATGGAATGTGGGATTTAACCTGCATTTTTCTGGTAGATAACTGGACAGTTGTAAAGTGTCATAGCATAGATTTTGTTCTAGTATAAGTTCAGCAGTTTTATGGCACCCTTAGAAAAGAGCTAGAAAGTAAGTGATAGGTAAAAATTAACCAAGCTGAGGGTTTAAATGCGTTCTGTGTCTCCTAGACATGAGCAGCCCTTGCCAGCATCCCTGTGGAGCTTGAAAAGCTTCAGGCTTGCAAAACAGCTGATGTACACCTGTTGTTGGTAGTGCCACTTGAACTGCTTTTTCCATCTTGGACTACAGTGGTTTCACATCGACCATGCTCTCACTTCTGTCACAAGTGGGATTTAAGGAGTGTTCTACTTGCAACTTTTTGAGTTTATTCCTCAATACAAAAAAAAGCCATCATGTTCTTTGTGCTACACACAGACCATTTATAATAGCAATCCAGAAAGACCCTGAGAACAGAAATCGGCCTGTTTCTGAAGGCAGAAGATACAGGTTGCTCCTATGCTTGCTCATACTCACAGCTAAATTCATTCAGCTGATGAAATAGAAGGGAATAGATAAATTGACAAACCAGTGTTCTGCTGGTTTTTTTAACACATCTTAACACCAGGAATGATTCTCCTTACATATTCGAATCTGAATGTGAGGTCTCTAATATGCCCTTGAGGGAAATAAATTCAGCAGTTGAAGTACTGTTTCAGCTTTCCTGCTGCTCGGGCACATACACAACATTGTACTAATGAGGTGGTGTTTCAGAATTAAATCCAAATTTTTTTGTAATTCAGTGCTAAAGATGGACTTGAACATTAAGAAATGTTTGAATATTAGCATTTACTTTTTGCCAATTCTCTTAGAAAATTTAGGTTTGATTTTGGTGTCCTTATGTTAGTACGTGATACTCTGCAGCAATTAGTTTATGATGTTTAATGTCCAGATAAACAGAAATTACTAAACTATTTGTAGAAAACTACCATGGGAAAACAGGGAAATAAAAGATAGTTAATACAAATTTCCTCAGGGAACATGAGAGGGCCGTAAAGGGAGGATGTGGGTTTATTGGAATGGAAGATTGCTAGGAAATTGATTTTTTTTTCTATTTTAGGCAAAATTAAAAGAGCAATATATCAGTACTTGAATTATTAAAATTAGAATGAAGCACTAATAGATGAACATGATCCTACTTAATGTTGTAGCTTATAAAAATATAGAAAATTAACTTGAGTCATAACCTAATAAAAATACATTTGTGTAAATCTTTTCAGGATCTTCTGTAAATATAAAAGTGTCTTGTTTATATAGTTGCGTGGTCAAAGCATGCTTTGTCTGTAATTGGATTATGTCTTACCAAATTACTTCAGCAAGCAAAAAAGCGTTATGTCAGCACAATATCCTGGAGAGTTGTGTAGTGCACTTTGAAAAGGGCTAATTAAAATTTAAAAGAATATAAATAATAATTTAATAATTGAAAATTAAAAAGAAAACGTCACCACATTTTTTTCTTATCTGCAAAGGTATCAGCTTCTGTAAACCCAAAGTTTTATCAAACCATGTTAACTAGAATTTTGAAATTTTGCAAATTTTGAAAATTCTCAATTTTGCTTTATTTTTACACAGGAAAAAAATTTTTGGTCCATAGTGATTTTTTACTGTCAACTTTTTCCCATGTCCAGAGATCTGTTCTGCAAATTCCAGATGTGTATACTGAAGTGAATAAAAATCAGGATCTTCAGTATTAGAACCTGAAGATGTAAATAGCATTTACATGGTACCCGAATTCTTAGTATTTAACTGTAGTAACTAATTCTTACAGTGATGCCAACAAATCTTTTGGGGAAGGGGAGCACGTAATCTGTAAATTAGGAGGTATGGCTGCACAGAGGTAGAACAACTGGTATTCCAGGAATAGAGTGTAGGCTCGGGTTTATCAGAGCACTCACATATGTGTTTAC